TGAATTTAAATGTTCAACCAAGTACAAATGTTCTAAAGGCTTGTATATAGATATAAGAAGATGTGGTATGAGTGAAAATGAGACAACTCTCCATCCAAGTCAAAATTTATAAAAGTAAAATTGAGAATGGAAATAGGGAATGTGTCAAAGAGACAACAACCCGACCATAGAGCAGACAACAGCCTTTATAGGTCAAAGTATGGTCTTCAACACGGAGCCTTGGCTCACACAGAACAGCAAGCTATAAAGAGCCCCAAAAATTACTAGTGTAAAACCATTCAAACGGGAAAATCAACGGTCTAATCTATATAAAAAACGAGAAACACTTATGAACCACATTAACAAACGACAACTACTGAACATCTTGTACGCAGACTTTGGCAAACCCACGAAATTAAATATTCACGACAATACAATTTTTCTTCAATCCATGAAAACTGGTACCCTTGGAAAAAAATGAATCCACAGTAATCCCAATGATTGTAGACCTGCAAAGTGTCCAGATTAAAAAAAAAATTGGGAAAAAGGGGGGGGGATGGTTCCCCCATGAGAAGGGTTTGCCAGATTCTTGAAACTCCAGAAATTTAAACAGATTTCATTCAAAAACAGCCTTTCAAAGGAGTTAAAATGGTATTTAAGCACATATGCTCTTTTATAAAACTTGGAATATTAGATACACTTCAGACAGAAATTTAAAGATTCAGTGAATCTGTTTCTCTGATGATTTTTAGACAATATGAACTTTAACTTTAACAAACTTTAATTTTCTTTTCCAATGATCTACAAAAAAAATGTGCTCACTGTATACAACAAATATTAGATTTATTTAAGACGGGAATTAAAGAGGCATTTAGTCTTTTTGGATTAAAATCCCCCATGCAGATTTTGAAAAGTTACCAGGTATGTGATTGGATACATTCAAATTTTTTAACATTTATAATTCAACATCTGAAAAGTAACTTAAAGTCAAATAAAACATTACATAATCAATTGTCTAGCAAATCTTAAAATGTTTCCAATAAGTGAGATCTCCAACTTTCCAGATTTGAAAAGTTAACTATGTAAAAAAAAAATTTTGAACTTAGCCAAATACACTTGTGCCCTCTGAATAGATACATTTGCTCTTAATCATGTTCAAATTTCTCAATTTTACATAGAATTTAATGAATTCATTTTTGGAGCACTTTATAGCTTGCTGTTCGGTGTGAGCCAATGCTCGGTGTTGAAGGCCGTACCTTGACCTATAATGGTTTACTTTTATAAATCGTTACTTGGATGGAGAGTTGTCTCATTGGCACTCATACCACACCTTCCTATATCTATCTCCCAATTATAGTAGTTTGCCATTTTTTAATAGTTTAAATTGTCTCCCTTTAAAGAAGTAACAACTAGATACCTGTTCTGGTAGAATCAGTGTACCAGTATATTGTAATTATCTCCCTTTAAAGCAGTTAAAACTAGATGCCTATTTTGATAGAATCAGTGTGTATATTGTTTCCCTTTATTGTTTTAATTTGTTTTTTTTTCTTCTGTTGAACCAATTGTGACTTCTCTGACTTCTAAACACTAGTATCTATTTACAAAAAGAGGAGAGTCAAATTAGAAGTAGTTTTTTGGCTGCTGAGAAAGGGAAGAGCTCCATTAGAATTGTATTTTTTATATGAATAAATAGAGAATTATTGGTAATAAAATATAAAATGCAGTTAACCAAAACCTAAAGATTGACAGAAAATGATTAATATAACAGAACTAGTATCTATAAAAATTAAATACAGTTAACTAAAATATAAATATCTCCATAAACTAATTCATGTACTAATTTTTGTATACATGTTTTGTAGATTGCTATATGTTTATATATTCATAAAATACTATATAAAAATAAGGAGATGGGGTATTATTGCCAATGAGACAACTATCCAGCAAAGTTCAAATGAAGTGGATGTAAGCAAATATAGGCAACTGTACAGCTTTCAACAATGTGAAAAACCCATAACGTATGGTCGGCTATAAAAGGCCCCGACATGAAAAATATGAAACAATTCAGTTGAGAAAACTAACGGCCAAATTTATAAGAAAACAATTTACGAAAAACAAATATGACAGACATGAAGCAACGACAACCATTGAACTACAGGCTCCTGACTTGGGACAGGCACATACAGAATATGGCTGGTTTAAACATGTTTGTGAGTGCTCAACCCTCCCCATAACCTGGGGTATGTATATCAAAAAGGAAAACTTTTAATTTTTGTCAGGAATTAACTTGTGCCTTCAACTTTGTACTAGATTTGGCATTTTAACTTTTTATTCAATTTGAATAATTGTGAAATTTATTAAGTTTTATAGTTAACTCAAAGGAATATTGGGTAAATTCAAACACAAGTACATCAGATATTCCTTTTTTCAGTGTTTGTGTCATATTTTTATATTTGTCCTGGATGTTGCACTATACATATTATACATATTGAATAAAAGACTCATTCAAGAAGACTTTTAAAATCATTTTATTTTTTTTTTTGAAGTCGCATTTTGTCGAACAAGGAACATGGTGTAACATTATCATAATGGTATTATACAAATTAATGGATACGACTTTTGTCAATAAATAATATAAGAGTCACATGATACAGGGTATTTGTTGGAATGTATTCAAGTCATCGTTTCGACTAATTAAATATTTACAATACGCAATTGTCAGACGGCAAGATGATTAAAGTAGTAATCAGGAATATTGTCACAATATGATAGAAATATCAAATAACATTGGACGTTTCATCAAGGGAAATTTTTTTACCAGACCTTTGACAAATTTAAAACTAAATTCGGGCTTGATCAATGCTCATTTCACTTTTGAAATTGATTATATTTAGTTTGGAGTACATATGTTTGAACTCTTTCCAAGTTGGTTGACCTTTAAAGATTTATTATACACATTAATATTCCTAAGTTTTGTCTAAGTTCAGAACGTCTCCTTTCATGACATATTTTAGTAGGAAGTTTACATTTCGAGTTAACACAATAAATTTTATTGATTCTGTTGATAGTCATAATACAACATGATACATACTTTTGTATAACTATTTAAATATTAAAATCGTGTTGAACATTGATCAATGGATATATATCTATTTACCATTCGACCACTTTTCTGTAAAAAGAATTGAAAATGCAGTTTCACGTTTGTTATAATTATTTATTCATGCAAAAATCACAAAATTCAAATTAAATGCCCGTTAATGTTTGTATTTAGCATGTTTAGTAAAAACACCAATATTTCTGTTAAAAGAATTAAAAATGCAGTTTCCCGTTTGTTATAATTTTTTATTCATGCAAACACTTCATGTAAAAAATTCAAATTCACTGCCATTTAATGTTTATACTAGTATACATACTGAAAATGTTAACCAACGAAGTGTTTTCTCATGCAAAGCAGGGATACAGTAACAAATTTGTTTTTCCTGTCAGACAGCTCAACTCATGAAAAACAGATTTCTGTGGCCAATATAAAAAAGAAGATGTGGTATGATTGCCAATGAGACAACTCTCCACAAGAGACCAAATGACACAGAAATTAACAACTATAGGTCACCATACGGCCTTCAACAATGAGCAAAGCCCATACCGCACAGTCAGCTATAAAAGGCCCCGAAATGACAATGTAAAACAATTCAAATGAGAAAACTAACAGCCTGATTTATGTACAAAAAATGAACGAAAAACAAATATGTAACACATAAACAAACGACAACCACTGAATTACAGGCTCCTGACTTGGGACAGGCACATACATACAGAATGTGTCGGGGTTAAACATGTTAGCGGGATCCCAACCCTCCCCCTAACCTGGGACAGTGGTGTAACAGTACAATATAAGAACGAACTATAAAAATCAGTTGAAAGAGGCTTAACTCATCAAGCATACCTTGGATTATGTAGCTAGACTTGCCATTTTCATGAATTATTGGGGATGAACATTTGTATCTATAAAATTGACTGAATCCACAGTAATCAAAAATAAGAAATTTTGGGAAAGTTCTGAATAAATTTTAACCAAAAACGAACAGTAAACATGTGTAGACATCATAATCCACTTTATTCTTGCCAACATATATTTTATTGCTGCTTTTAGTCATTGTATAAAGTTTTACAGCCATCGTAAAAGTCTTATACTCCCTATAATAAAAGTATTATGCAGTAGATATCACTTATAAAGTTATAAAGATATTATTCAACAACAGTTTCACAGTAATAGTCCTAATTTATATATCAAGTAGTTTTTATCGAATAACTATTGCGGCAAAAGTGACCTTCTGTGTTGAAGGCTGTACTTTGACCTATAATGGTTTACTTTTACAAATTGTGACTAAGATGGAGAGTTGTCTCATTGGCACTCATACCACATCTTCTTATATCTACTTAGATGATTTTGGCTCCAGTAAACCAACTTGATTTTGCTAACACTTTTGTCTTTTTGTTTTAGCCTTTCCTAGCATATTTCAGGGTGATATATTTTCACATGTTTTCTAACTTTAAGTGTTCAAACAGTTAACCGATTTATTTTCATAATTTTCTAACTTTGTTAGTATTTTCATATAAAAGATTATTTTGTTAGTGATTTATTTATGCAACTTTTGTGAGTAGAAAAATATTGTGAATATATCAAACTTCTATCAATTCTTACATGTACATTAACAGAGTTTAAAAATGATAAAAAATGATTTGCCGGCAACTATGCAAGAAAGGATTATGGTAAATGTGGAAAAAAAATTAGTCAGTATCCAGAATAAAGGATATTTACTTCTAATGTTTTTTTTTTATATTTTATAATCTGTTGTATTTTTTTCCGCCTAATCAGCTCTTTGAAATAATGTTAATAATGAAAATGTTATTTAGCTTTTTTTTACCTTAAGATTCTTACCTTATATTTTCCTTCTGTAATAGGATATTATTCTCATAAACAACTGAGGACTGAATATTTTTTATGTTTGTATTTTCAGGTGACCAGTTAGTCAACCATATCCCTAATGGTCAGCTGTTGACCAACAAGCTAGGTTTACTAAACAGTTTACAGGAGTATGAACGTGTTACATTATCAACTAAAGGGAGACCACCCAGATTGAAATTCAATGATTTCTTCCCAGAGACTTACAGACTTGATGAGAAAAATAATAAAGATATATTTCTGGAAGTTTATCAAGGTAAAAAAACAATTTCATGGTAAATTGGAAGTTTATTGAGAAAAAGGGCCAGGGGCGGATCCAGAATCTATATGACTGGACCCCAGTCAAGGGATAACTTAAACAAGTTATTACAGGAAATAATAGGCATACTGTTATTGTGGGAATTCTGTAGGAGTTATCTTCTCCTGTCATGATTTGTGTTGAATTAACACATGTCCTTTATTGTACAAAGAAACAATGTCTGTAATAACGCCTTCTAGTTATCATCAACATTTTCGTTGGGTGAAACACAAATCAGATACTTAATTTACCACTGTTTGTTTTGTTTTTTAAGATCTCGTGTGATTTCAAGATGGTTACATTATTATTTGTGTCATTTTTGGTGAAACAACATGGGCACAATATTACCAGTTTGTTGTATTTTAATGATAACTTTGTCTGGAATATTTTTTTTGTATTTTTGTAGGCGGAATTGATTTGATATTTTCAAGTTATTAGAATTATTTTAGCAATTCTTCAATGATACCTTAGGATTAAATATTTATAAATCTCATAATTTGAGTTATTGGACACCACATGAATCAAAATTTAAAGAGTTTTACAAAATTTTGTCCAATTTGCATTGTTGTCAATATAATGGAATTTTATGCGACTGTCATACAAGTAAGAGGTTTAGCTAGCTATAAAACCAGGTTTAATCCACCATTTTCTACATAAGAAATGTTATCCATTCGTTTGATGTGTTTTGAGCTTTTGATTTTGCCATTTGATTATGGACTCTCCTTTGAACTTTCCTCGGAGTTCGGTATTTTTGTTATTTTACTTTCTACTACTGGACATGAAATTGTGCACCTGTATTATAATTTTTTATCTGTTGTTAAATTTGAGTTTTCCATGCCACAACATTGACATAGCCATTTCTGCATATATCATCAACAGAAAGCAGTTGACACACACCTTTAGAAGACTTTCACATTTTGAATAATTTGATATATGGAATATATTGGAGCATATTTCAGACAAAAAATAGTACATCATCAGAAAATGAAAACATTTCACAAACAAATAAACAAACCTGTGCAATTTAGCATCTAATAGAACCCTAATTGATCCAAATACAACAAAATTACCCCACAATAACGTGGTTTATATGAAGTAGTGACAGTTCAAAACAAGCTTCACAAGGTGTGTCAGATTTAAATCTTAAGTGACTAGGATTGCTAGTTTTTCTGTCTTATGTTAATGGTGCTCTTCAGGCACTCATTCTTTTTCTCCACTGGAAAAAGGCCGCCATGATATTGCCAAAAGTACTGAAAGTAGGGCCTATTATAGCCGACTATATGGTATAGGTTTTTCTCAATGTTGAAGGCTGAACGGTTGCCTATAAATTGCTTACACCCACTTCATTTGAACTTTGGCAGATAGTTGTCTCACTGGCAATCATACCACATCTCCTTATTTTTATATGAAACAGTGACAGTCAATGACTGATAATATTTATATATTTTCAGATGGAGAAATGTGGATCTGTAAGCCTACAGGTTTGAACCAAGGGAAAGGAATCTTCATTATCAGATCTCGTGATGAAATCAATAAAACGTTGGAAGAGAGAGAACAACGAAAGGAACAGTTGTCACGATCTACTAAACCCCTTATGAGTAGGATTGTTCAAAGGTAGGTATCTAATGCATTCTGGTGTAATTTTTTCAAATGTTACCTCAAACATTAACCTTAATATTTCAGTCCCTCCCCGTAATCGAACTCCTACTTGTGAGGGCCTGAATTCCTCACATGCTAAAAACTCTTAACGAATCCTGGATTTTGATTGGTGCCCTGTAGGAGAGGTGACCAATCAGCAGTCAGTACAATTTTAATGAGATAGGTAAATCCCGAGCTAATTCAGAATGATTAATTGAAGATTTTTTATTGTCTATGCATCCAGGCTTTCATGAAGTAATCATAGAATAGTGGAATATAATGACTGAGTTATTCGGGTAATCAAAACATTGGGGTTTGTTAACAGATATGTTTGAAACAGAAGATATTCATGCTATTATTATACCCCTACAACAGAGATTGCGAAAGATGCATAAAAATCACTCAGTATGGGGAGGGTTTATAATAATCACGCTGTGTTGACTAAAATGGGGGTAAAGGGGAATAAATGAAAGTGAGTCAATAGGTAAAGAATTGAGTATAGGGAAAAGAAAATTCCAATTAACAAACATATTTAAACAAGAAGTGAAGCAGCAAACACAAACACAAAAGTTTTCTCAAAAATGAATAAATCATCACTAAAAATATGAAATATGAAAGTTTGACAATAAAACAGATGTTGATTTTGCTCAACTTCCATGATGGTATCCTGGTAGTGTACATGGTTCACTGAATATAGAAAATGATGGAAATAAGTACAATCCCAGGTTAAAATTTTGATTTAAGCTATTACCTTGAAGTTGTGGTTTGATCAACTTGAGACTTGTTTATTTTGATGTGAACTATTTAAAATGTATGCCAATTTAGGATTGAAACCAGATTTCATAGTTAACTGAACATTGAAATGTAATGCTACAAGCATGCTGTCCGATGGACTCATATTCTTGTTTTAAAAGATAGGAGAAAGATATCAAAAGGACATTCAAACTCATAAGTAAGAAAAAAACAAACAACAGTACACAAAACACAACATATAAAAACTAAAGACTGAGCAACACTAACCCCACCAAAAACTGGGGGTGATCTCAGGTGCTCCAGAAGGGTTAGCAGATCCTGCTCCACATGTGGCTCCTGTTGTGTTGCTTATGTTAGTACAAATCTGGGAATATGTCTAATTCAGTAGGTCACATTCGGGGAAAAGGGGACAGGATTGATTTAGTATCCTCTCTTTCAGTGGCCCTGAACATACAAGACATATTTGCCACTGGACGTTTAGCAACCAATAATCAATTTTCTTTTTCAGGTATATTATGAACCCATTGTTACTAGCTGCTAGGAAGTTTGATGTCAGAGCCTATATGTTGATTGCATCCACTGTACCATTCTTAGTCTTGTATCACAAGGGATATGTCCGACTTTGTTGTGCCAAATATGATAATGATGACCAAAATCTGAGCATTCATCTCACAAATCAGGTAATTATCTCCCTTATGATTGTAAGTTACCTCCCCTGTCTGACTCCTTGTAGGGTTGACCAAATTCTGAGCATTCATCTCACAAATTAGGTAAATATCTCCCTTATCATAGTAAGGTATCTCCCTTTCTGACTCCTTGTTTGGATGACCAAAATCTGAGCATTCATCTCACAAATCAGGTAATTATCTCCCTTATGATATAAGGTTATCTCCCCTGTCTAACTCTTTAGGCTTTAAGTTTTGATTAACATTAAATAATGCATATAACATCAGCATATTTGGCCTCATTTGTGGCGTAATAGTATGGTGATTAATGGTTACTGGCCACAGACCACAATTAAATTCCTCTATTAGTTCTTAATAACGTTTTGTCTCATTAAAAAAATTGCACCATGCCTTTTTGTCAAATCTTTTGTGTGTGTAATGTATAGTACTAGTTCAAAAATATATCCAAAATTCAGAAAGATTGAACTAATCACTCTTACAAATTTAGCCTAAACACATCCATACCCCTATGGACAAGTCAAGAGATGTTCCGAAAACTGTAAATATGACCTTTTTGCACCTGGCCTCATCACTCTTTCCATATCAAAATCAGTTAAAATACAACATCCAAAAGTTTATTTCACCTCTCTTCTTTCATTTCCAACCAAAAAAAACTAAGAAATGAATGAGGAAGGGAAAGAAAAAAAAATAAGAAAAAATATACTCCAATTAAAAATAACTATATTCATGGACATCGAAAAGCAGGGTCATTAATTGTGGTCTTGAGCCTACTGGAAAGCTTAAGGTGGATACATTACTTGTGTGATCAACTCCTACAGTTTTCAACCCAGATCCCTGACACTTCACAGGAAGATTGCAGATATTTTGAAGTTGTGCACTTGCTATTATGGAATTGTTTAAGGAATTTTCTCACCTTTTTCCAGAATTTTGAGCTTATTCATTTTTCAGCAAAATTTATGGAAGAGGGTACAAGTTTTGGGTAATCAAATCCTCCAAAGTTTTAAACCCAGATCCCTTAATCTTCACAGGAAGATTGCAAACTGTAAATTTCATTTTGATATTTTATCTCTACAGTTTGTACAGAAGAAGGATCCAAACTTTAAGGATATCAAAGAAGATACAGTATGGTCGATGGAAAAGTTCAATGATTATTTCAACGAGAAAATAGCTTCAAAATCTGGTGTGGAACCAGATTGGGTTAAAAATATACTGACGGTAAGTCAATGAAATTTTTATCATTTGCAAATATAGGACAAAGATACCAAGGGCAAAATTAAGAACTGAAAGACAGACATGCCAAAAGATACATTTTGAAAAGACAACTGAGGTGCTCCCGAAGGGTCAGCAGTGCCTGCTCCACTATTGACAACCATGGTGTTAAGTCGATAATATACATTGATGAGTCTGAAGCATCAGAAAGTTGTGGATTCGTAAATATGTCCTGTTCAATCCTAACACATTACCAAATTGTTATAAAGTTGTTATGTTCTGATTATCAGGTTTTCTGATTATTGATGTTAAAGAATATTAGCTGTGAGTGGCACATACAAAAAAAAAGCTTTTTGTCCAATGAGCACAATGAAAGATTTAAAAAATGCTTCATATTGTTCTGAAAAATTTAGATATCACTTTATTGATATGGCATGATGTGCCATTACCTGAATATCTTTATAATACGGGAGTGTTGCATGGTGTCATATGGACACATAGTCCTGTTTTAATGAATTATAGATTACGAAATTCACATCTAGAAGAAAAAATATATATTAAAAAGACTGTTTGGCTTAGAATAAGAACACTGTGTCTGAGTAGGGTGATATGTCCTACTGTCAACTGCTACCTTGTGGTCTAGCTCATTTAAAATTTGACTTTGTATATTTATGTCTCATTATGTGTTATATAGTCCTAAACATGCATGTTATATTTTTTTCTGTAAGAAAAAAGTAAAGTAACATAAAATACCGAACCCCAAGGAAAATTCAAATTGGAAAGTCCCTTATCAAATTGCAAAATCAAAAGCTCAAACACATCAAACGGAAGGAAAACAAGTCATATTCCTGACTTGGTACAAGCATTTCTTATGTAGAAAATGGTGGATTAAACCTGGTTTTATAGCTAGCTAAACCTCTCACTTGTATGACAGTCGCAAAGAAGCCATCAAGAAGCCATCTGGAATTCAATCTTTATATAATTGATTTGGGTTATTTTATTTCAGAAACAAATGCAGAAGATTATGATTCATTGTTTTAACAGTGTAAAACACAAATTAAACCAGAGAATTGGATATTTTGATCTGTTTGGCTTGGATTTTATGGTGGACTCAGATCTAAAGGTATGAGAAGGTAGCAACAAGACCGTGAACACATACTGTAAACCAAGGAAAATTATGGGTGGGTTTTATTTTCGCGACTTTTGCGAGTAGAAAAATAAATTGTTGTGAATATGCAACAATTGGACCTATCCCTATATAGATACATCATAACATTTAGAAAAATCTGGAAATAAATCGCCGCAAAGTCAGTTAGAAAGAAGTAGACTCAAAATTTAGTTGGTTTTATACAATATTCAACTAGACAATTAAATAGTTTGATGTAGTATGAAGATAAGAGATGTGGTATAACTGCCAATGAAACAAAGACCATAGACCAGGATGTAAATAGCTATAGGTCACTATATAGCCTTTAACATTGAACATAAGCCATACCATATAGTAAGCTGTAAAAAGGCTGGCATAAAAAAATATGAAACAATTCAATCAAGAACAGGAATGGCTTGGTTTAAACTAAAAACAAATATGGCAGACAGCAACCAAAGACAACCACTGAATTCTAGGCTCTTGACTTGGGATGGAGATATTAAGAATGTGAGCAATCAAACCCTCCATTAATGGAATAGTCATTTATTGAAAAAAAAACAAGAAGAGAAAAGGCTATTATCATCCTGCATTTCAACACTTTAATCAACTCTTGACTCTTAAGACATTTGTTCAGTCAAACAATTTAGTATATGCACCGCAACTGCTAATGGCAATGCATGTAAATTAATTTATTGCAGGTCTGGTTAATTGAAATTAATGTGAATCCATCCTTAGCTGTTACATGTGGTGCCCAGAAGGAGGTCGTACCAGGAGTTGTAGAGGAGTCTCTGTGTAAGTACAATGTGTTATTGTAACACCAGAAAAAAGGGGGTGATGTCTTGTAAATAGTTTCAGGACGAAAACAAAATTAAATGATTGATGGATGTCTTTTAGCTAAGTATAAAGGGTGTCTTATTTCTTTTAGCTAAATTTCTTGACCAAAATAAAATGGTGAAAATAAATCTAATGAAAAACTGCAAATTTTGCATTGTATGGTGATTTCGAAAAAATCAAATGCCACAAAATTGGCTGAGCATAATAAATGGTTAAATAAAATAGGTTTTAGTCATAACAGTACCTAGTCAGTCTGTGGATTACTATGAAATTTGTAACACAAGGTTTCCTACAAAAAAAGGATGTTTGTGATTGATAGTGGGGTTTAGGAAAAAGGGGCCAAAAACTATATTCTTCTAATACTAGTTGTATAAATTGCATATTTCTTGAACAATTTCAAATGGTTTTAATTCAAAGTCTTGAATTCTTGGGTTTTTTGATATGCTGAATCTATTTAGATTTTGGATTTTTGGGGCCCCATTATTAAATAGATTTTGGAATATGGGCTCGGTTTTCAAATATGTCCTTATTAATTCCAAAGGGTCTAAAATAAAACTTTGTTTGATTTCAACAGAAATTGAATTTTGGGGGATCTTTGATATGCTGAATCTAAACATGTATTTAATTTTTTTTATTTTGAGCCCAGTTTTCAAATCTGGGTCTAACCATGTACTTTGATTTTGGCTATTGGTCCATAAAAGGTAAATGTCCAATTTTTAAGTTCTTAGAGCGCATTCTTTCTGTGTCAGAAACCTATGCTGTGTCTAGTATTTTATATATTATATTTTAAAGGCTAGAATTGGTAAACATTCAATGAGAGAATTGTTTTTCATAAGTACTTTCATAAAAATCAAATAAAAATTTGGTGGTCACAGGTCTCAAATTCTTGAAAAATAAAAAAAAACCAACCAAATTGTCCTATTAATTTCAATATAATTATCTGCCCTTGATTTAAATATGATTTTTCTGCAAATTTTAGATATATGCATTAAAGAATGACATGCAGCTTATAAATTTTTGATAGTTTAATCTTTAAATTTCAAGTTTTAGATGTTTCTGTTGTATATTGAATAATACTTACTAAAATAATTATAAACCAAAAAAGTATTTTTGCAACATGCTCAAAAGGGGATGTTCAGAAAAAGACACCTGGCCTTGTGGTCATAAAACTTTCGAGCATGATTTTTTTGTTCTCAGACTCAGAAATCAACCAATCAAAATAATGGATTTTGTGTTTCGAGCACAAATTTTGTACTCGGAGTACTGAGTTAAGTTTTATGAACGCAAGGCCTGATCTACCTTAATTTACAAAAAATTTGTGAATGGTTCGAATATTGAGAAAAAAATTATCCTAAGTGGTGATATACATTTTATGCAGCAATGGGAAATACAAATGAAAGCTAAATTTAAGCCAAAATTGTAACCTGAGGGATAGTTACAGGGGAGGTTCCATATTGTTAAAGAACTGACAGAGAGATTGATATCTTTAATGCGGACTGGAATTTTTAAAATTTGTTAGAGTTACTGTTGTTTTTAAATATCCTTACCACTTTAAGAAGGGTAAAAGTACAAGCTGAGGTATTGCCTCTATTGAAAGGCATGCTGACAACATTGAGAGTTTATATAAAAATAAGAATATGAGGTATGATAGCTAATGAGACAACTATCCACCAAAGTTCAAATGGAAGTGGATGTGAGCAATTATAGGCAACCTTACAGCCTTCAATAATGAGAAAAACCCATACTGTATAGTTGGCTATAAAAGGTCCGACATGCAAAATATGAAACAATTCAATTGAGAAAACTAACGGCCTAATTTATAACAAAACAATAAACAAATAAACAGAAAAACAAATATGACAGACATGAACCAACGACAACCACTGAACTACAGGCTCCTGACTTGGGATAGTGGAGTTAAACATGTTTGTGAGCGCTAAACCCTCTCCTAACCTGGGACAGTGGTGTGACAGCCCAACAGAAGAACAACCTATAAAAATCAGTTGAAAAAGGCTGAACTCATCAGATTGATTTGCTTTAAAACATTTTTCACCTACACTTAGTAGTTTATTTGTAACTATTCTTCATTTTCAGATCTTGCAATAGAATGTTTTGAGAAAACAAAGAAAAACCAACCCTTACTGCCACTAAACACGTTGAAGAATTTTTCTGTTTTGTATTGTGGAACTAGAGCAAACACAATTCCCCCTAGGGCAACAAGAAGTGTGTCCCCAGTAAAAGACGAAAGGTTAAAGGTCACTGCTTCAAGTGCTACCACTGCCACATCTAAAACTAATCGTCATGCTAATGAGAACAGTCGTTCCGGACATAGATTGTCTGTTAGTAGCACACCTCTAGCTTCCACTGGGGGTAAAAAATCTGAGGACTCTTCAACCAATGCTGCATCAAAATCTGGAGAAAATTCTTCAAAGGGGATGACCTCTGAACAGCCTCAGGCTGAGTCTGAAACAGTGCCATTAAAAATGACTCATGTGTCGTCTGCTGAGGCGATTGGTGCTAAAAATGGGAGTGTAAATCAAGTCAGTGATTCAGATGCAAGTAAAGAGCCAAAGAGTGTGTGGACTTTAGGAAGTGATGGTGTTTTGACACTTCAAGCACCCAAACCTGTTATTCAACCTGTAAATACCACTCCAAATCTGGATCAAATTAAATCAATATTAGCACAAATAGGTACAACAAGTACTGCATCTACTACCACTGGGACCAGCACGTCTGCAGCTAATGTTGCCCTGGATAAACGTAACGTTAGTGTTTTGTCTCCTTTGAATGATAAAACTGCTGTGAATGCAAGTATTGCAAGCTCAAGTGAAACCGCTACAACTCCAAAATCAGCAGATACATCGTCTGAAAAATTAAAAATGGCACCGCCAAGGTCAGAATTTCCATCTTTACTAGCTAAAGTTGACAATGTAAAATCAAGCACTGTGACCGTTGGACTATCAACTCCAGCAAAAGTGGCATCTGCTGTACCATTGTCTTCTGGTGCTGGGGCATCGTCTACCGCTAACTCCTCTAATGCCCCTCGTTCTGTGCCAATAACAACGTTTTCTATGTCTAGTGTCGTCTCTGGTCACACCAGTGTCCAACACGAACGAGACCGAGCGGAAACAATGGCAGCCTATACCACTCTAGCTAAACTAAACAACTGCTCAAATCTGCCGTCAATTTCACACACCAATTCTGTAGTGAAATCTACATCTAGCTCAGGAAATCAGAATGTAAGATTGTCAAATGTTTATAAAACTACAACAAATTATGATGCTCCGAGCTTAAAATTCACATCTGTGGGACAAAGTAAACAGTCCAACGATTCCCAGATAGAGGTCATACCTCATAGACAAAGTAAACAGTCTGGTGAGACACACGTAGAAGTCATACCACATAGGAAACACAAGGATTTTTTTGACAGAGGCAGTTGATACAATGTTAATGTCTGATAGTTCTGATATTTATATGGCCAATTTGTAATCTTAGCCGTCATTTCTTAGGTCAGTCAGACATTGGTAATTAAATATTATCTGTGGTTTTGAAAGCAAGAGCGGGTTTCTCTGCCTCAGTCTCATTGTATGGCAATAGTCGTGAGATGAGATGTAGTAGAGAAACTTCCTCTAGTTTGAAAGATCATAGATAATAATTTTATAGCTATTTTTGAAAAAGCAATATAAATGACATTAGCTTATTAAGTAATCCATTCTCCCTCCACTTGTCTAAGAAAACCCATAGATCTCGGTAGAGTGGCTTGAGATGGCCTATAATCACACAGAAAGATAAAAAAAAAAAATTCAAGAAAATAGCAGTCAAAATAAAGATAAAGATTTCTTTTGTTTAATGAAAATTGACATATAATTTGCAAAAGATCACAAAACTCTTAATTACGACTTGCAAATGCTGATAACTGTGGATTCATTATTATTCATTGGATACAAATTTTTGTGGGTTTCGTGGGTATAGGTGAACCACGAATTTAAATGTTCAACGAATTACAAATTTTCTATAGCCCTTGAATGCAGAGATTGGCAAAACCACGAAATCAAATATCCACGAAAATGAAATTTTCCTCAATCCATGAAAATTGATACCCGCGAAAATAAATGAATCTGCAGTAATTGATTTAGATCTTGAAATGACTGCAAAAAAAGTTGTACTTTAAGCAGTCATTTTTTAAGTCTGGCATACATTGATAAAAGTTTGGAAAAAGATCGTTAATGTTTGACTCTCAACATGTAAAGAAATCAGAAAACTCAAGACTTGCAAGTATCAATAAACATTCTTAAATCCTCAAAATCACTGGAGTCCTTTTTATACTTTTTTTTCTTCATTTTTACCTTTATCAATCAAATGGTCTATTGAACTTCAGTACATATTTTTTTAAATAACTCTAGATAGTGTTGAATATTTTCATTCTGTGTCTAAATTTTTCAAATGAATTGTATCTGAAGAAGTGTTTTTGAAAATGTTCAGACAGTTATGGGCAGGACTTCAGGCAAGATTTTAATGCAAAGCAAAGGGTACTAGTCCTAGGTGTTACAAAATATTAAGGTAAATGTTGAAAAAGCAAAACAATAACAATCGGAACCATGAAAAGGAAAGCAGAACTTTTTCATCATATAAATAATAATACCTCAGTTTTTACCAATTATGTCTGCATTTGCTACTAATTTTATAGTACATGTATAAATAAAAAATGGAGTTCAGTAGGATATGGAAATATTGTATTGACATATCAGCAATTAGTGTGAAATGATTTCTGTAGCATTAGAGTTGTTTCAAAGGTTTATTTAGATGTTTTTAAAAGTGTCATTTTTTCACTGTTTCCCTTCATTGTACCACCACTATTTCTGTTCATTAATGTAAAATTGTATTTATTGTGGTTCCCACTTAAATCCATAACCTAACCACAGTAAATAGGCATTAAGAATTCCAATCTGCTTCCGTTCGTTTGTTCCATAGCCTACAACAGTAAATAGGCATTAAGAATTCCAATCTGCTTCCGTTCGTTTGTTCCATAGCCTACAACAGTAAATAGGCATTAAGAATTCCAATCTGCCTCCGTTTGTTTGTTCCATAGCCTACTACAGTAAATAGGCATTAAGACTTTCAATCTGCTTCCGTTTGTTTGTTCCATAGCCTACCACAGTAAATAGGCATTAAGACTTTCAATCTGCTTCCGTTCATTTGTTCCATAGCCTACCACAGTAAATAGGCAATAAGAATTCAAATCTGCTTCTGTTCATTTGTTCCATAGCCTACCACAGTAAATAGGCATTAAGAATTCCAATCTGCTTCCGTTCTTTGTTCCATAGCCTACCACAGTAAATAGGCATTAAGAATTCCAATCTGCTTCTGTTCATTTGTTTCATAGCCTACCACAGTAAATAGGCATTAAGAATTCCTATCTGCCTCCATTTGTTTGTTCCATAGCCTACCACAGTAAATAGGCATTAAGAATTCCTATCTGCTTCCGTTCGTTTGTTCCATATCAGGTTAAAAAATTTTAGTCAAAGTAGTTTACCATTTTACCATGACATTATGGTCACGCGAGCTTAACACTTACTAGACATGTTCATTATGATTAGAAGTTTTTTAAAATGTATGGAAAATACAGATTTCTACCCAGATTTCACAGTTCATAAAACATGAAAATATGATTGTGCGAGTTGGGCTCAATGTGTCCTATGGAAACCTGACATATTCTTGCTTAAAAAGTGAAATGATCAATATAAGAAATCTCAAATATTCAACAGAAAACATGTTGTTTTTATTTTAAATTGAATCAAAAATAAAAAAACAGAAAATATATATTAATTTTTTAATATGTGGATACATTTATTAGTTTTGAAATAAGAAAATCACTAAATGAAATTACTTTTTTTTCTAATCTCAAGTTTTATGTTCAAATAATATTCCAATGCATAGATTTGTAAGGAATTCACAAAATATGCTTTTTACAGAAATAAGCAAGGTATATTTATTTAGTTTCTACACGTTAAAATTATTTTAGCTTTTGTAATTTCTAGTCTATGTTTTATGGGAGATAGAATATAAAGTTTTAACACCTAAGTTATAGTATAGAAAGTAGAAAAAACACTCTAGTTTTAGGTTTGTAATTAGTTGAAAAATATGGATGTTTAGATTACCTATTATAATCAAAAATTTATCGACGATTGAATATTTTTCCATTTATCAATTATAATTTGCAATAATCCATAAATGTTAGAAGTATTTATAAAATGGAAATCCTTAGACACCCACCCTTTAAGGAAAGCTTAAAAATCCCAATAAAATACCCATTTTGTACATACATACACTTCTTTGGTGTACAGGCATCTACATGTTTATGGAAATACATAATAAAATGTTTTATATAATATTTTAAGTTTTTTCATGATTAAAATATTTTACTTGTTTAAAAAGGGAGGCAACTCCAATGATTAAAGTAGTAAGAAAATTAGATAAGTCATCTCTTTTTTGTATCATCCCCCCTTCCCCAAATAAAAATCAATAAACCTACCTCCACAATTATCAGATCAAAATTCTTTCACTGAGGTTTCTTTGTTTTTGCAAAGTGATTTCCCACCCTCTACTTGATACTAAGAAAGTAATAGAATTTAGCAAAACTTCTAGCTTAAAATAAAGTTATTTTCATGACTTTTTTGACAGCATGGCCAAATAACATGATTTACTTTGCCCAATTATTTTTAATAGCCATCTCTTTATTATTCTTTATTTTCATATATATATATGTAATAGATTGCTTATTACTTTTATTTTATATGTAAGTATAAATTAATCTGAACATTGTTTCCATTTGCTGCTACTGTGAATTTCAATGGTGTGTACACATGGGTCATTTCACTAGGTGTAATAACATAATATTTAACTTGTCTTTCTGTATTATTTAGCCAAATACAAACTGTGATATATATTACATGTGATTGTAGATGTTTACTTGTTTGATGTTTGTCATATTGACTGTAGAATTATGGGATATATTATTAGGTATCTGTCATATTGACTCTGGACACCTGGGATATATTATTAGGTGTCTGTGATATTGACTGTGGACACCTGGGATATATTATTAGGTGTCTGCCATATTGACTGTGGACACCTGGGATATTCTGACTGTGATATATAATGTGTGGCTGTAGAAGATACGTGTTTGTTAATGTTGTTTACTTTATAATTTGTATTTCAGTACAATAAATTGTTAAAGCAATTATTATTATGGTTCTCCTTGAAAATTGTAGTGCCATGCAAAGATTGAAAACTATTTACAAAAACTTCAAAATCCAAGGTAAATTACCAACAAATGGAAGTTCATAGACCTGACAAAACCAAATGCTTGACTATATCTACATTAAAATAGTGGGTTAAACACTTTCCTGCATTCGCATTAAGTAACACTTTCTTAAATTGTTGTCTAAGACCCTATTTTGCAAGTTGTCCATCGGATATGTGCTATGATATTCTTTTGTATATCATCCTTGTTGGTCTCGTGATGGCTAGGCTGCTAAAAGTGCAGGATGTTATGGCCAGGATAAATGAAAGACTGAAACTGATATTTGTTGTTTCTCTGTAAAAGTTTGTGTATAAATGCGAAGATTGTTAAGCTCAGTGTGAAGTATTGTGATAGATCTGTTGTTTAGTGAGCTACCATGCTAAACTTGCCTGGGTGTACATAGTACACAAAAGCAGTGTTTATTCACTTTGTCAACATGTTTTCTTCTTATGAATGCATGAAGAATCTGCCACTGGACATTAAGAACTCGTAAGGACATAAATATGCTAGTATCTTGCCTCCGTGCAAAACAAATAGTGCAGGTAGGTAAATTTATATCATTATTAGCTCACATGGCCCAAAGGGCGTTTTCTCATCACTTGGCGTCCGTCATGTGTTGTGCGTATTGCGTCGTCGTCTGTTGGGGTACTTAGTATCTAGTTTTATAAATATGTCCTATGACCCCGCCTGTCAACCAAGATGGCCGTCATCGCGAAAAATAGATCATAGGGGTAAAATGCAGGTTTTGTCTATTAATTTGAAAACCCTTCTAAATCGACAAAATTTGACGGGAGCAGAAATGGTTAGAATATGTAGCTCTACCTATTGTCTTGTTTCCTCTGCTATAGAATCCATACTTAGTTTGAAATTGCAGTTGGTGTCAGAGATGCATTTAATGATAGATAGCGGAAGCGGACGACTGGCAATCGAAAAATTGCATCTGCTATAATATTAACCTACCTGGGACGTGCTGTGCTTTAATCAATATGTTAATATGTAAATTTTCAAGAACTAAATGTCTGATCCAAATCATGACATCTGATGATTTTGAAGTTTTCTTGTTCAGAATGTACACTGCTGCATTATCAATATGAAACCGCAAGTTTTATTCCCAAGTTTAGACCCCCTTAAGATTAAAGATACCATAACTAAATTTTTCTAGAAATGTTATGTTTGATAATAAACCGCACTTTGGCCATGTTTTTGGCTTTAAGGCATGAGCCCATCTAACCTTGGAATATATACCTAAGCCAAGTGAAGACTCTCCGGCACTGTGTTTGTAAAATTCAACTAGAAGTCCAAAGTCTATCTTGCAGTAGAGTGAGGCCATTAAAATTCTCTTAAAATGATTTTCACATCCTACGATCAGCTTTAATGTTCGAATTTATTCTAATTCTGTGATATGATTTATTCAAAGTAATCGTTGCGTCAATCAATCTTCTACAAAAATCTCTGCCTGGTGCGACAACCCGTCATAAAATGTTTAATGAACCAAAAGTGATAGGATATCCCTTAGCGTGACCTTCTTGTTTTTTCTTGACACTGAAACTTTCTGAAGTAATTCATTAAGATTATTGGGAATAAAACGGAGACATGTCAGAAGTGTTAATTTCTACACCTTAAAATTTAAGCCGTGTCGTAGAAATCGTTTTCTCATCCGCTAATGGAACTCTTATGTCATATCAGATAACCTTGAAAGTATGAAGCAGGTCAGAACATTGACTGGCTCCGCCCCTTTAAAAATAAGAAGTCGTCAAGGTAATGTACAATAGAGCCCTCAGATTGTCTTATACCCAAATGAAGAAGGGAGGCAAACTCGTATAATAAAGCACCAAAAGGGAGAAAATTTATCGAAATAAAAATCTTGATTAACCTTAGAACCAAGAAAGATCAAAAGCAATCGGCGAGATATGTAGCTATCTGAAAGCTGTTGAACTTCGGATTGACTAGCTAATGTTTTAGTTCCGTACAGTTTAATAACTCAACATCATCATCAATATTCAAGTGAACAAATGAACATCTCTTTGGATCAATGAAACTATGTAGGGATGTATTTTCGGGATAAGATCAAGGATGAATTACCTTAAATTGACTCGTCCTCCTCCTTCTTTTGAACTCACCGAATGGAGAGATTCAGTAAGCTGGAAGCGGCCTAAATTAAAAAAGGACTAGCAACACGGCCTGCATCTATTTCGTTTTGAATTTTTGAAGAAGTATATTTGGCCTCTCCCGAGCGGCAGCTGTAAGTAAACGAGGACTTGGATAATGGTAAAGAAACACCAAATTTGAAACCAGACATTAAGGATGTTCGCTCCTATTGTTTTTGACTTTTTGCCAGATATTCCGACTCCTCTGGTTTTATCCATGTAGTGTCATTAAAAAATTTTGCCCGCTTAACACTACTTTTCTTTTCATATTTTTATTACATATAGTTTAAAAAGCCATATTTGAAAATCTTATAAAATCCTTGTTATTTTTTCATAGTTTTTGAAATAAAAAAAGTGCTAATGTTAAATGTATGAAAAATCTAGAGAGAATTATTTCCCGCCAAATATTCAATGGCTTATATCTTGAAAACAAGCACACGGACCCTTCATTTTTTTCTGCTTTTCTAGTTCCTTTATTCATATACTTTTAATTTATAACAGTCTTTTAAAAATCTTGTTATTTTGAAACAGAGTGGCGAACATCCTTAAACTTGGTAAATATATAAATGCTCTACATTAACGGGGGGAAAACCGAAGTGAAAAGGTGTCGCTGTATTTTGACATTCCACATGCTGAGCAAAAGTTAATGCTGCGACGCTTCCCTTATGTGTGGTACACATCACATGTTCTTGCTTGCTGAACATTTTGCTGACCTGATGGCTGACAAAAGTAATGAAGGGGCTCAGTTTGGGTTGTTATGCCCACTTTATTATCAATATTTTGACTTTGATCTCGCATAGCTGTGCAATGATGATTGATGATTCGTCGATCCAGATTTAAGCACAACATTTATGTAATATTGCAACGAAAACGAATTTTACAAAAAATAACACAATTAAAACCCACACAAATGGCCAATTAGTAAGATGACTATTTACATATGTGAATTTATTTGACGATGAGATTTTGAACTGGTGAAAATCCTCAGTGACTTGTTCCAAGAAGGACCTGGTAAGCAAACAAAAACAAAGAAGCGATTTGCCAATTAAACTTTTTCCAACCCGACATGACAACTTGATAAAATCATATACTATAGAAAAAAATGGCTTACAGAAAATAAAGAATAGAGAATAATGTAATGCTAAAATATGGAAGAGGGAAACAAAAATAAAACTGTAGAAAACACAGAAAACTCAGAAATGAAGATTCCAAGACCCTTATGAGTAATAAGAGTAGCATACTGTATTAGTTAAATTGTTCTCACAATATTCATTCTATTCACAGCCTGGACACATATTTGCTACAGCTTTTGCCACTCATATCCTTTACTTTTTTAAGGACAATTGTCTAGTATGATATTTTATGCTGTCGTCAGCAAAATATAATGTTTAAAATATATCAGTACCCCTTAAAATGAAACTGGCAATATTTTGTGGTGTGTTCACTTTTATTCAATTATCAGAGAATTTTTTTATAAGGAAGATCTTATTTATTTAAGAATTAGCATGAGGAATTACATAATAAAATATCCATATCAAGTAACACTGATACTTAAAGAAAACATACAAAGTCACGAGATGATAAACAAAAGTGTACAGGGAAATATTTTTTGTTTAAATCCTCAAAATGATTTTATTTTTTCCTTTCCGATTGTTGTTCTTTAACAATATATTCAATATTCTTAGTGTCATATATTTGTCATGTTAATTTTATATTGTATACATTTTGTTCATAATGATAGTTAATCCCCCACCAAACATAAACGCTTTAGACACACAAATTTATGTTTCTTTTCATTTCCCTGTTTCAGAGTCACTATAAATATCAGTTACTTTTATCAAATTTGGAATCATGGGTTCAACTATTACAGAAAGTCGGTTGGTCAATGCAAATAAATAATCAATTACAATATAAAAGAAACAAAAGGTAAGAATTTTTAACTACTCAAAAGTGATTTTAGTTGACAGTTTGAACATTAACATGAAAATTATGATAATTGTAATTATGTTAAGCTACCTTCCAAGTTAGATAGTCATTTTTAATTTCTGTAAACTTGAATCATGTTAACGGTTAATACAAATTTTCAGCAAACACCGTAATGAAACAACAGAGCTGATGTAGAAATTCAAAATGTGATTACTAGCCGCCATTTATTTGCTTGTATACAATTTTTGCACAGATAAGGGAAGTTTGGTAATCCGTCTGAAAACTCTGTTGTTTCTTAATATAACAAACAAAATGTTTTTCACGGAGCTTTAACTGGATGTATCGTACAGACGATGACAGTCATTTTTTTCAAAAATAAAAAAAGGTGTTCATTCTTTTCCCAGGTATGGTGAAAAAAAGAACTGCTATGACATTTAATCATATTAATATAGGATTCATATTTTAATTCGTAGAATGACATACTGATAATGGCCAGAATGTCCACAAGGAAAAGCGAATCATTATTGTTTTACAAATATCTCTGCCAAAAAATTGGATCTGAGGAGGTCGTGAGAATTAGGAGGTTGGTTTCCACTATAAGAGATATTGAAGTAAATGGAAAAATCATAACTAGTGGAAGTAAAGGCGAAGGACTCAATTTAAACGGCAGTGATTGTGATATAATGATTATTGACCAAGACTTTAAAGTGTATCAGTCAGAAACAAAAGTTAAAAGGAAAAGTTTTCCGATTCCATTAACTATGAATACCGAGGAGACACCGCCATGTTTCACACAATTATTGCTTTTACATCAAAATATAAAGAGAACTCATCATTTGTTGCAAAAAAATGATCGGGGATATATGCTTTCAAGTGAACTGTATAAACGGTTCATTTTGAAATCGGCAAACGCTAAATTTCCTGCGCCGTTTTTCGGAAAAATCCATGGACCATGTGTATCAGATAAACATGATACATTTGATCTTGCATGGTGTTTAAAGTGTGACAAATGGATATTTCAAGCAGAGCCATGGATTAGTAGACCACGTACAACATGGCCTTCACCTGAAATAATTTCAAAAATAGTATCTAGTAGTGGGGTGTTATTTGTTCCAATTGGATGCAAAGGGTCCATAAATGAACTTCTTGAATGGCGAATTTCTTTTTCTGAAGGAGAAAAATTTCTTATATTTTCCTTCACCCATACACAATTATTATGTTATGCTATGTTAAAAATCTTGCTGAAGGAAATAATAGAAAAACATGAAGATTTGAAAGGTTTGCTGTGTTCATATTTCTTAAAAACACTAATGTTTTGGATTTCAGAAGAAACAGACCAAAACGTATGGAGACCTGATAATATAATACCTTGTTTTATGGCATGCCTTCAAAGACTGCTTTATTGTGTACGATATTCAATATTGTCACATTATTTTATTCCTGAAAATAACTTGTTTATTTTAAGATTCAATGTTACTAACAAAGACAAACTGATAACCATTCTTATGAATTCATATGAGCAAGGAATCAATTGTTTTGCATCTTCTATGACCCTACAAGATTATCAACGCCACTCTGAAGAAATTCCTGAATCTGAAATAAGCAGATACGTCGGGTCCTTAGAACAACCTATACCTATATTTTATGGTATTAGTTGTTGTAGTGGAAGTGTTACAAATTCGAGACTCTTGTATTATTTTCTACATCATTCCAGTACTGCTTTATCTAGAGTTCTATTCGCTTTACAAATATCAGAAGCATCCTTACAATTTCCAGAAGAAACACAATACCCAAAAAGCTCAGGACACAAACACCTTTACTCTAAATACAAACTTGATCTGAATCATTTAATTATCGGTTTACATTCGGATACATTATATGGATCGTTGAAGTTGGCTTCTTTCTTCTATGCTAACAAAAATTACGTAGACGCATTAACTGTGATAAGGTATGCATTGACAAAATGTACAAACGAGAACATTGATACTGGAATTTTAGTTTTTAAAAAGACATGTAATCATAGCCAAATAAATATGTCGATTTTGAGGAAAAAAGAAAAACTTCGTGCAATGATAACATCATTAAGAGGGCATCCTTTTAGCTTTGGAGTGGGTTCTTCAATAGTTCCACAAGAACTACGACCCGATGTTACAAGCACGCCTACTTCTTTTCATCCATTACCATTTGCACATTTCCTTAACTTCCTATGTTACTACCATCTACATGACATTTCATTATGTAGACAGTCTTTACAACGACTTAGCCATCTTCAACGGACCCTTTCAAAATGTGGTACTAATTTTGTTTGGCCTTATTTCCTCAACACAATTATTCTTTGTGGCATAGCTAACAAGTTAATGGAAGACACAGACTCTGCTAGAACTGCTTTCCAAGAAGCTGCTAGACATGATAAGTATAATGTAAGCAGTGCAGCATCAAGGCTGTCTAGTGTCATCTAAATCTAATTATATCAAACATTTCATTTTACATGTAACATAGTACAGTTTTGACATGAAAAAAGCAATAGATCTTGACCAAACGTGTTTTCCTGTTCTGACAAATGTAAATGATACAATAAAACTTTGGAAGCTAACATTCATACATTATATTAATATACTTAATCCCTTTAATCACAGTCATATAGGAGCAATTTGTTTTTATATTTGTTCGGGTGACTAACATTTTAGATATTGACTTTCATCAATAAAAAAATACTAGTATATACATGTAATTAGATTATTTTGGCTATTTGATTGTCTCTATTTGTTTGTTTGCCATAAACCATTTTGTAATGTTAATGTTTTATGACAACAAATGATGATATGAATTGAACTGGACTGATTTAACATCTTTTTAACTTGACAATTTATTGTTATAAAACGAGTTGATTTGTCATTCACGGAGTCTCAATTTGTAAAAAAAAAAACATTTCTACATTTGGCTTTTGTAAAACTGCATATCTTTTTGTACAAAAATCAGTTTGGCAAGTGATACTTCTAATTTCGAGATTTTGCAGACACGTATATTATGAAAAATTAATTTTGATTGTGTAAACAGTTTATGTCAAAAAAATATTAGCAATATAAGAATGAGTACAAATTTTCTTTAACTTTTCGAAATCAGATTTATTTCAGGCATTTAAGAGAGAGAGAGAGAGAGAGAGAGAGAGAGAGAGAGAGAGAGAGGGAGGAAAGATACCAGAGAAATATTCAAACTCATAGATCGAAAATTGGAAACGGAAACTTCACAATTGGGAAAGGGATGTTCAAACTCACAAGTCGATGACAAACTGACAATGCCATGCAAAAAACAACAGACGACGAAAAAGACCAAGAGACAAACAAGAGTCTAAACCACAAACTATTATCTTTCCCTGAAAAAATATCATCTAGAAGGGCAAACACAGATTGAAGCCCTTTAATTTTGACTTTTATTCTTTACACCGGGCCATATACTAAATTTCAGGTAATTGAACATAAACGGGTGTTTATATGTGAAGTCAAATAACAAAACTACCAAACTCCAAGGAAAATTAAAGTGGGAAAATCCTTAAGCAAATGTCAAAATCAAAAGCTCAAACACATCAAACGAATTGAAAACAACTGTCATATTTCTGACATCGTACAGGCATTTCCTTCTGTCAAGGAGTTGGATAAAATCTGGTTTTATAGCTAGCTAAAGCTTTCCGTGTCTTGATTTGGATAACAGTTGTTTTATTTCGTTTGACACTTAAATTCGTGGATAAAGGAAAACAGCAAAAATTGGTGTCCCACTAATAAAAGTAAAATACAGAAATAACCACACGGATTAACCAAGTGTATTTATACAGTAGTGCAAAGTTCAATATTGTTAAATGACTTTTATTCTTGGGATACTAATTCCTTTATGTTTTAAATGTCCAATGAAATATAACATATGTTGTCCAAATCAAGACATGGACAGATGCCCATGTAGGTTTGACTACAGGCATTTATTCTATACAAAACATGCAATATCAGCAAACGCACAATGAACTATATATAGAACTCCAGATAAGATTTTACTTATTTAATCTTTAAAACCTAAACTGTTCAACTTTATCCTGTTATTTCTCATGAAAAATTAGTTTCGATCGATGAAACTTCCCGAAATATTATGCAATGATGAAGTGCTAATTTTTTCTTAACACAATTATCATACAAAAAAAGCATATTTGACTTGCTTATCTATTTCATACAAATTAATTGTATTACTCAAAGTACATTTTTAGAAGTTTTTATGTGACCATTTCCTTTAGGTGACAGGTTTATGGCCAAATCAACACCTTTGATACTCGTTAGTCCTTTGATCATTAGATCTTGGGTTTATAAGTGTAATGAATTTTTGATTACACGTGTGCAACAATTACTTTAGCTAGCTATAAAACCAGATTTAAGCAACCATTATCTACATTAGGAAATGCCTGTATATGAAGTCCAGAATATGGCAGTTGTTTTCCATATGCATGCATTTTTGATTTTTTTATTTGATACGGGATTTTCATTTTGAATTTTCCTTGAAGTTCGTTATTTTTGTTATTTTCCTTTTTGTAATTTCCTTCGATAGCCACAATTTGTAAGCATACATAAATCAGCTTATTTCCGAAATCAATCATTTTATCAAACATTTGAAGATTTTTTAGAAACGAACAGGTAAGTGTAAATGAACACCTCATTTTGTAATGTCCAACAAATCCTTATAAAACAATATATAATTATTTTCAAAAATATTTGTTTCTGATGTTTTCTAACTCTTCACTGGATTTTTTTCCAGAAAACTAAAATTCACAAATTCATTAACCGACGAACATCAAACTTTAACTCAAACCACGAAAATTGATATCCACGAAAAAAACCGTACTGTCACAGTATAAAAAAGATTAAAGCAAATTAAATAAAATGAGAAAACAATTACAGCGACCAAGGAATTCCACTGGATACCGGGTTTGGAGAGGTACATCGAGAATGTGGGGGTCTTAACAATTTTGTAAGCGTTTAATTCTCCTCTATATCAGAATAGTTTTACTCTTAACTCAATTCTGTATTCTGAAAGTAAAAACATATGAGATAAAAAGACATACATCATTTTTAGATTTTTTTTTTTGTAATTATGTTTTGTAAGTATTATGCGTTTGTTTATTATATTGTTTTTCTATTTCAATGTGATTTATCACAAATGTCACCATTTCGGATATCATCATTCATAATAAAAGAAATGATGCAAACATTAATCCTAGACCTTAAGATGGCATATCCTTAATTGTACACTAAAATATCGTGAATCCTAATACCTGATATTAATTAACAACGTACATGCATATTATAGGAGATACATGACGAGGTTGAAAGTAGGACAGGTACTTTATATCAGTCCTTAACACCAGTATTTTGGTGGGGTTCGTGTTGCCCAGTCTTCAATTTTCTGTATAGAGTTTTGTAGACATGTTTGTTTCTTTTTTCATTTTTCTTTATTTTGCCATAATGTTGTCAGTTTTTCTCCCACTAATAAATTTATGAATGTCATCTTGGTATCTTCGGCGGTTTTCTTTGGATAAGAACTACTTAGAATTTTTTGAACTTGACACAAAATGAACAATTATATATGACCACCTTCTCATTAAGCATGTTTTATGGTTGCTGCCATTGTAAAATTTATCCTACATCCCGGTCTACTTTCTTACCCATGCAATCAATTCGGATGGTTTCATTGTCAAAAAATGAAACAATACGTTATTTCTAAGCTTTTCTGGATTTACCCTCACCAGGAACGCTCAAATCCGAATATTTAAAAGCCAAGGGTGTATAAGATCCGAAACATTCGAAGAGCGTTATGACCAATAGCAACATAACAAGTAGCCAAATTCATCTAAGGGCAACTGTGCAATGAGTTGAAACCTTTGTTTCTAAAAATTAAAATTTTTCGAAAGGTTTGTTATAAATCATGTCAATACTTAAGTACTGACTACTGGGCTGATGCTACCCTCCGACGTACTCTACTTGAATTACCTTCACCGGGGACGTTAAAAGCCGAATATTTTAATCCAAGGAGGTGTAAGAACCGAAACAGTTGAAGAGTCTAAAACGACATAAAAAATAGCAAACTCCATCAGAGGTCACCTGTTTGCCATGAGGGAGTTACAACTTTTTTTTTTTCTAACAATTTCAAACATTATTAACGGACAAAACATCATTTTAAACTTGACTTTTCAGTACAATGAGTAAAATAATAGCTCAGCTATTATAGTACGACACATGTGGAGAGAAATGGAATGTTAATGAGACGGTCAATCGATTTTACGTACGACTGACTATTAATCAGGATTGTCGTACGAACTTCTAAAATTTCGTAAAACACTAGCCCTGACTGTTGAAACGATCCAAACGCTTGACGAAATCGACATTTATTGACCCTTGATAATTTAATCCTTAACTGATCGAAATGATTGATTGGCGATTTGTTTTACAGATGACTGTTTCGCAGATGACATCGAATATATTCCAATTCTGGTAACTGCAATCCCGTCACCTTTTACCCGAATGAGACTTTTCACCGGGTCTGTACTCCCATGAGCAACACGATGGGTGGAACAAGATCTGCATACCCTTCCAGATCACATGAGATCGCCCCAAGTTGTTGGTAAGGTTTCTGTTGCTCAGTCCCTATTTTTCTATGTTCTGTTTTTGTGCACTGTTGTTTGTTTGGTTTTTTTTTGCCTTGGCGTTGTCAGTTTATTTTCGTGTTATGAGATTGACTGCCCCTTTGGTATCTTTCGCTACTCTCTTGTTATTGACTAGCCATGCATGCGGTAATGTAGCCTATTCATCGTAACACACTGGAAAAGAAGCAAAATCACAAAAATACATTTATACGTCTACGTTTAGGAACTAGTTTTCAAGTTTTCTTCAAAAGAAATGCAGGTTTACACAATAGACAATTGTAAAAATAAATGTAAACATGTTGATTCCGTTAAAGACAAAAATTCTTTTTCTGCATAACAAAAAATGAAAACAACACGTTATAAGTTATATGCATCTGAAGTTCTTTTCCTGATCTCCCTTCATCAGGAACGCTCAAATACGGACATTTGAATGCCAAAGATGTATAAGAACCGACACAGTTGCAGATTTATATTACATTAAAGGACTTTGAAAAATAGCCTAATCCATTAAAGTCAACTTTACCAAATATGTCTAGTATAATTTCAAAGATTTGTTATTCAGGTGCATTCCATTCAAACCAATATCAATTGCCGTGAAACATTAAATATTAGGACGTTGTCAAAAAAATAAAAAATTAGATGATAAAATAGAATAAAATAACACTAACATATATATGTTATATTGAATATGTAGAATCAGGGATTATGCTTAATCATCTATAACTTTAGTGATTTTATATAATTACTGAAATTTTCAGGAATTATGTTTGACCACCAGATAAAATGTCAGAGACTATATGATAACTGCAATGAAGATACAATGAATAAAATCATATTTAAACATTTGAAGAAACATGAATATTCAAATCGAAACTAAATATTCCTCACATATTGAATCTGATTTTACTGTACTTTTAAGAAAAGTACACTGTTCATTAGAACATCTGAATGTACTAAAATGTCAATTATATACCTTATATCTGAGCATACTTTCATGTTTCATAGTCATTCATTATCCTTTTCAGTTCTTTTATGAAAAATGACCT